TATTTTGGCTTGGTTTCTCATTGAGTGGACTTATGACTTTGTCAAATAAAGCACCTTTGACAAGTAGTGATTATTGGCAAAGACATGGTCAAATTATTTGCCTAAGTGCAAGTTTAAGTTGTCCTTACCATGATTTTTCTTGTTATACGTGTATCCGGGGAGGTTGACTCATTCAAATGGAAAGTTAAAATATTAATACCAATATAGTTCATTTATAGGGTTTTTCCTTACCATGAACGAATTTTCCCCAAATCGCTTTTGTAAAATAGGGTTTTTGAGATGAACGAATTTTCCCCAAATGCTCTCAATTTTTCACCCACGCTCTTTGATCCTGGCGATGAACGTAACAACGAGGATCCCTTCCCTGAATTGGGGAAAGCCAACCCACCGCAATTGTTGAGCACGAGATTTCTTAAGAAGCCACGCACACTCAAGCGGACAGGGGCCCCTTTGGAGCATAACCCAGCCCAGGCGACTGAACTGGTATGGGAGCATCCCACCGACAATCACCCATCTGCTACACCGCCGGTCATCCCTCCGGCTGGTAACAAATTAAGCTTTCGTGATACTCTGACTAAGAACCGACCACATGTGGCAATGGAAGCAGAAGATGGGGAGAGTTCAGAGGAAGACACAGATGTGATTGTTGACTTCAGTTGCTCTGAGCCGGACATACAACTCTCCACGGCCTTTAAGGAATCTCTTATGAAGTCATGGGATACTGTGGTTGCAATCAAGCTTCTGGGCCTAACCATGAGCATGCCGATGTTGTACCGGCGCCTACTCACTATATGGCCGTTCATCCAAGATTGCCCTTTGGTGGACCTCAAAAATGGTTTCTTTTACGTGCGATTCAAAACTAAGGAGGATGCAGTGAAGGCTTTAGTTGGGGGGCCGTGGGTAATCAGCCAGCACTACTTGCACGTTCAGCCGTGGACGGAAGATTTTGATGAGACCGTTGACAGTATAACTTCCACTGTAGCATGGATTCACTTGCCGGGCATGCCGGTACACTTGTACCATAAGAAAGTTTTCCGATCAATCGGTCAGATTGTCGGGAAAGTCGTTAAGATGGATTATAAAACTGCAACGCAAACAAGGGGGAAGTATGCAAGAATTGTTGTTGTACTCGACTTGACCAAACCCCTGTGTGCTCACTTTACCATTCAAGGCAAAAAACAGAGGGTGGAATATGAAAGTCTTCCTCATATCTGCTATCAGTGCGGTCGGTATGGACACCAAAGCGTTGCCTGCCCGGAACGCCCCGTACCATCCACTACTGACCCGAAAGATAGTGGACCATTAGGGACCTTAAGGAGGTGCTAAATATGAGCTTATTGTTGGGTTCTGTTAGGAACGTCAAACAACATGCACAACATTGAACTTTATCGAAATAAATCCTAACGCAGCGGAATCTATAGTTAGGATATGGATATTTACCTCTTAAAATTTTTGCCGACTCTGAGACGATGTAGAGTACCGTTGGTGAAGTTCGTCTGAACACCACAACCTAATGGGCGGATAGGTTTGGCCTTTAGTTGATTCTAATCAACACGTCAAACGGATCACGAACGGACGGTGTGCGGGTCTCGGACGTCGGGTGCAGCGGGCAGCACGTGCGCGTCGGGCGCGGACAACGTGCGTGTTGATCGGGCGCGTCGGGCGCTGGGCAGACACGCGGACGGACGCTGGGAACGCGGACGGGCGCTGGCGAGACGCGCGGGACTGCTGGCGATGCGCGGGTGGATGCTGGGCGTGTGCGTACACGCGGTGCGCTTCTCCTATGCGGACGCAGACTGGGCGTGCGCGTCTGGGACCACGCCACCAAGTTCAAAGAGAGAAAACCACATCCAGAACACTGAACGTGACGGTGGAACCAGCTTCCAATAACAATCCAATATTTGGCCCGTGGATGCAGGCACAAAAAGGGGGGAGATTAGGCGGAGGAAGAACTTCGGGGGCAATCAACAAGTTTCCTAAACAAAAAGGCGGGCTGTTTAATGGGGGATCAAGCTTTGGGGCGCTAGGGGATTTGAATGAGGGAACCTCAGAGGAGCATATCTTCACAGCGCAGGTTCAGTCGAAATCAGGGGGAATTAAAGAGAATTGGCGTCCTGTGGCCGACTTCAAAAAAGGGAGAGGCAAGGGTAATGTGGGCAACCAGATGGGCCTGGACAAAGGCCTGGACAAATCTAGGAATGGACATGGAAATATTACTCTAAATGGGCCTAACTTGCAAAAACCAGTGGATGACAAATCAAGGCGTGTTCGGGATAAAGAGAGCCCATCCGGTGGGTCAGGAACTTCACAGAACAACCAGTTTTCCCTTTCCATCACAGTACACAGAGGACTGCCACCAGCATGACGAGAGAGGCATCGCAGAAGGACTTTGGGGGCTTGGCCTTCCAGACTAATGCAATAGTGGTTCCGGCCGTGTCACGCCTTGACCCAAATAACCATACGGCAGTTCACGTGTTAGAGGACCAAGGGGTGTCGAGTCATCCGATCGCTCATGACCCGGGAGATAACTCAATGGCCGAGGATTCCCTCCCGGCCCACCAGGAGCCCCCTGGGCGAGTAGAGGAACACGATGTTCACATGGTGCCGGAGACACCCCAGGGCTCCACTACGTTTTAATTTTTGCTAGCGGATAGCTCTGTCTTGTTGTTTCTTTTTAATGAATATAATGTTTTGGAACGTTCGAGGTGCTGGCTCACCGAATTTTAGCCGGACCTTCTCAGTACTTAAAACTAAGTTTGATCCAGACATTGTCGCATTTTTTGAACCCAGGGTGAGTGGTAAAAAAGCCGATAATTTTGTTAAAAAGAGTGGTTATGATCGATCTTTTCGAGTTGAGGCAGCCGGATTCTCCGGAGGAATATGGGTTATGTGGAAAGAAGGAATTGAACTCACTGTTATCAAATGCCATAAGCAATTCGTGCACGCTTTCGTAAAGACGGATTCGTTTGAGTCATTTGTAACCTTTGTGTATGCTTGCCCACAAAATAGAGGCCGCAGACATCTTTGGACTGCTCTTAACTCCCTAGCTAGTGGCATACAAACCCCATGGGTACTGGGTGGAGATTTCAACTGTACTTTGAGCCCGGAGGAACAACGAGGTGGTGCACATGGCCGTATTTTTTACACGGGGTTTTCAGACTGTTTCTTCGAGAACAACTTGCTGGAAGTCAAGACTGACGGCTTACGCTTCACATGGTTTGGGCCAAACATCGAGAAAAAGCTAGATCGGGTTATCGCGAATGAACAATGGTTGGACTGCTTTGGCGATGCGTTTGTGTCCCACCTGCCACGTCACCAATTAGATCACATTCCTCTGCTTCTTAAGTGTGGGCGGAAGCCAGACACAATAAACCGCGGGCCAAAACCCTTCAAATTTTTAGCTTCTTGGCTAATGCACAATAATTTCGAGAGTCTGGTGGAAAGCGCTTGGAATTCCACGGACTATTCTTCAGCGGCGCGAAATTTTACTATGGAAGCAACCGAGTGGAATTCTCAAGTCTTCAGGAATATCTTTCAACGGAAAAGTCGTTTGTTGGCCCGACTGGGGGGAGTACAACGCCATCTACAATTTTACGTTACTAACAGGCTCTTGAGGATGGAAAGAGAATTGAGCTCCGCCTTGGAAGAAACACTTGCACAGGAAGAGTTGTTATTATTACAAAAATCCCAACGTGACTGGAACTTATTCGGAGATAGAAACACTGCCTTCTTCCACCGGTCGCTTAAGCATCGTCGACGCCGCAATAAGATCATCGCCTTGTTGAACGAAGAAGGTACCATGGTTGATGACCAGTCCACCCTTCAACGAATGGCTATCGACTTTTTCCGTAACATTTACACGGCTGGTCCTATCCTGCACTGCAATAGCCAAACTCTAGTCACCTTTCCAGAAATAGAGACGGCTACTTGGCTGCGCCTAAGTCGAGAGGTACAGGACGATGAAATTCTCCAGGCTTTGAATTCAATGCACTCCCTTAAAGCGCCGGGCTTGGATGGCTTGCATGCACTATTTTTTCAACGTCATTGGGATAAGGTTGGGACATCGGTCTGCAATGTTGTTCGTAGTATCTTTAATGGAGGAGAGATGCCCCAACAGTTGAATAAAACACTCATTGTTTTAATTCCTAAAGTTGATTGCCCTAACACTTTGAAAGAATTCCGCCCGATAAGTTTATTGAACGTGGTATACAAGCTAATAACCAAAGTCCTCACCATCAGGATGAAGGGGTTAATGCCACGCTTAATCGGATCGGCACAAGTCAGTTTCATTCCCGGTCGCCACATCACCGACAACATCGTCATTGCCCAGGAACTAGTTCACTCTATGAGAGGTTTGACCGGCAAGAGGGGCTACATGGTGATAAAAGTGGATCTTGAAAAGGCGTACGACTATTTGAGGTGGGACTTTTTAGAATAAACACTCTTACTAGCCGGTTTCCCGCGTGCTTTTGTGAAAAGTATAATGACATGTGTATCCTCGGCCACCATGCAATTATCTTAGAATGGGGTTCCCAGTGAGGAATTCACCCCTTCTCGGGGGGTTCGTCAAGGCGACTCGATCTCTCTTTATCTGTTCGTTCTCTGCATGGAACGCCTGGCTTTGATGATTAGTCGATATGTTAATGAAGGCAGATGGAAACCAATTTCCTTGGGCCGCGGTAGAGTCAAGATCCCATATTTACTCTTTGCAGACGATCTTCTTTTATTCACTGAGGCAACATCTGACCAGGTTGAGTGCGTGACTGACGTCCTGAGAGTATTTTGTCAAGATTCAGGCTTAAAAATTAGTGCATCCAAAACTAAAGTTTTCTTCTCCAAGAATATTCTCACGGATGAAGCACAAGCCATCGCGTCTTATATGAACTTTGAGCGGGTCGATAATTTGGGTAAGTACCTGGGGATGCCCGTTATTCATGGGAAAGTAACCCATGAGACTTACTCTAACGTTCTGCATAAAGCGGAAACGAGGTTGGCCGGATGGAAGAGCTCTTCCTTGTCGTTGGCAGGGAGGACTACTTTGATCCAATCGGTGGTGGGCGCATTGCCGTACTACTCTATGCAAACCGTGTGGCTGCCGTCTTCAGTCTGTACCGGCATTGATAGAAGATGCCGTCGTTTTCTCTGGGGAAGTTCTGAAAATCATAGGAAAATCCACTTGGTCCGATGGGATGATTTATGCCGGCCCAAGGTTGATGGCGGTCTTGGGTTTAAAGATCAACGGAAGATGAACATGGCCCTTTTGATGAAATTGGGTTGGGGGTTGCTGACCTCACCTAATGCTTTGTGGGTCCAAGTATTGTCTACTAAATATGGGCTCGACTTCGCCAATAGAGAGGACAACTTCACCTTCCCGCGCGGGTCCACCGTCATTCGGGCTATCGCTCGAGTTTGGAAAAAAGTAGTCGAGGGCACCCGTTGGTCGATTCGGAATGGGACCCGTGCTCGATTTTGGAAAGACCGTTGGCTTCCGGGCTCAAACATTCTCTCGTACATAGCAATCTGCCCGATCCCAGGGGAGCAACTTGATTGGACGATTGACAAATTAGTTAACGGTGCGAGAGGTTGGCGTTGGGACCTTTTCCAGGAGCTATTACCTGCTACTACCTGTTTGCGAATTTCCGCGGTCTCGCCTCCTTCTTCGGGCTTGGGCGACGATCTCATGTACTGGGGCTGGTCCTCGGATGGGCACTTTTCCACAAGGTCAGCCTATGCTGCATTGACAGGTGAGAATACGTCGAGCGATAGGCATTTGTGGAAGGATATTTGGAGTTGGACCGGCCCGCAAAGAATCCGGCAATTTCTGTGGCTGACTATTAAAAACAGACTGCTAACTAACGAGGACCGTCACCGCCGTCACTTGGCTGCGTGTGCGGCATGCGAGGTGTGTGGAGCCGCCCAAGAAACGTGTCTTCATAGCCTGAGGGACTGTACTCATGCGAAGCGAACATGGCGCCACCTCATCCCTCACCACCAACAGGCCGCTTTTTTCAGCCACGATCTTAACGAGTGGGTGCGGCAAAATCTGAGAAACGAGCTGCACATTCAAGTGGATAATTGGAGTTGCGTTTTTGGAGTTACTCTGTGGCAACTATGGCGGGATAGAAATGCGTTCATCTTCGACAAAAAAAAACTTAATATACAGAGGCGATTGGCGGTAATAGGTGGTCTGGTCGAGGGAATAAATTCAGCATCCCTTACTACCAAAAAGTTTGGAGCTTTGTTCAGGTCCAAAGAACTGAGGTGGCTCTGCTGGTCCAAACCGCCAGGTGGATTCGTAAAGGTAAATTCGGATGGTGCCTTTAGTCGCCAATCAGGAATGGCTTGGGCCGGGGGATTAGTACGTGATGAATGGGGCCGATGGAGTACCGGGTTCGCGATGAATATTGGGTTTTGTTCAATTATGGGCGCGGAATTATGGGGCCTACTACAGGGATTAAAAGTAGCATGGGATAAGGGGCACCGCATGGTTGTGGCGGAAGTCGATAATAAAAGCGCGGTGCATTTGGTGAGCCATGATGCGCCCCCGACGGGTGTGAACAGCAGTATCGTTCTCGGTATTCGAGAGTTATTGGCTAGGGAATGGAAAGTGGAGATTCGCCACATCCATCGGGAAGAGAACTTTGCAGCCGACTACCTTGCGTCGTTGGCCTCGACATTGCCAAGTGGACTACACGTCTTTGACGACCCACCCACGGGGGTTAAACCGTGGTTAGAACATGATAATTTAGGAGTTTCGTACGCTCGCAATATTGTAGTCTAAGGCTTCGGCCTCCTTCTTTGTACCAAAAAAAATAGTTCATTTATTTATATAAAAAAATGGTGAGCCAAACAATTGCATTCATTCCATTGAAGGAAAAAAAAAAAAAAAGTTTTT